TATCTGAAAATACCCTGTGGAACCTTATCAAAAGATTTGCTGGAATCAAGGTAGATAGTATCCCCCTTTGGTCAGCAAGATGGGTGAGGTATTTACCTCTGTCAGAATTCCTTTTGCTACTTTCTGTATCTGATCATTTTCTCAGTCTTGATCCATCTTCTAAAATGTTTATGATGATCTTTGTCTTTGTGTCATCTGCAAATGCTTTTATCCTATCTTCCAGCCCCTCATCCGAGTCCTTTATAAATGTGTTGAAGGTAGGCTCTGTGGCACAGGGCACCACCCAACACGCTTTGCCAGGCTCTGTCTACCCATCTCATGTGACAAAGTCCAGCCCACGTTTTGCCTTGTTCTCAACTGGGATCACTTGAGAGACTGTTGAATACCTGTTGTATTCACAAGAGCAATTAAACTGGTCACTGGGTCAAGGAGATTGAGTTGGCCTTACTTATTACTCCTGCCAAGCCTTGCCTTCTGTTCACAGCTGGAAAAACCAGGAGGCCTCCCTCCTTGTTCCCCTTCATTGTAGAGGCTGAGGACTTGGCCTTCTTCCTGCCTCCGTCTTTCCCTTGTGCCTTCCCTTCACTCCCAACAGAGCCCCAGAAGCCTCTCCACTGCTTCCACCTTCCCTCCCTTTGCTGCTTCAGCCACTGCAGTTTGCACCTGTTTACTTCTTAGCTCCAAGCTGCCTTGGACTGTTCCCAAAATGATTCGCATTGGAAGGGTGAGCGATGAATTCCAGGTCTTATTTTTTGGCAGTTCTCTTTACCTAAAGAATTTCTGTCCGTGGAATCCTCCCTTCCATGACCTGTAGCAGTGCAACCCTAAGAAGCCTGTGAAAAGTAGACAGGTGGAGCCTCGGTGGTCAGTGCATTCGGCTGTCCTTCCTTGTGGGGGGACCTTTGGCTAAACACCCCCAGTTATTCCCAATGAAACACAGGTGTGGTTGGACACTTTGTGGTCACCATCACACAGTCTGGATCTAACCACCCAGTGCTGCTATCTGGGGCGGGGGGAGCTTCTGGAATCTGGTTGCAGGTCTTTTATGGTCTTTGTCTCCTGGTTGAATCTGGTGTGGCTGCCAGGCAGAGGCTACCACTTTCTCCTGGGGGCCGTGGAGGGCAGTGAAGGCCACTGGTTGGACTCTATGCCCCTGTGAAAGATTAAACCATCATTGAAGAGGCCCCTGCAGGAAGCTGGGAGAGAGATCCATTCCTTGCTGTGGGAATTGGCTGGCTGCAGGCTGCTTCCGGGATGGGGCTGTGCCACCGTCCTGTGGTGTGCACAAAGCTGCCTGACTTGCCTGGGTTTTGCCACCCATGTGGGGAGAGCTTCCGGCCTTGGCGTGCCAGCCCTCCCTGGAGCAGAGCAAGCTGGAGCCCATCCAGACCTTTCACCAAGCACAGACTTGCTGCAGAGAGTCCCAACAGGTTCCCAACAGGCTCCAGCCCAAAGCAGGATTGGTGCAGAGCAGGTCTGCCAAGGTCAGTGGGCGGACCTCCCCTTCCAGGTGGGGCAAGTCCCGCTGGGTGGGGGCCTTAGCCAGGCTCAAAAGCCGCCATGTTGCTGGAGGAGTCTGCCCCTCCCCCCTTTTATCTTGAATGCCCCCAACTCCACATTGCCAAATGGCCCTGGGGCTCCATCCTGCATGGGTGGATCCAGCTCTGAAGAGCATTAGAGGCCCAGCTGCCAGCCCAGCCCTGAGCTGCTGCTGCTCGGCTCCACTTGGCAGCTGGCTGGCTCGGTTGATCCGAGGCTGAGATGCCCCTGGGGCCTGAAGCACCAGCCCAAGCCTCCCTTTTGCTGAACTAAGTGACAAGCCAGGCCATTCCAGAGGAGGAGAGGGGCAGCAGGCCATGTAGGCCGTGCCTGAAGCCCACGTGTATTCCGCCCCTCAGGGTCCTGCAGTGGGGCGAAGGAGCTGGGGCAAAGGCTGCACTTGGCTCAGCACGAGGGAATACAAATAGCGTTTCTTAAAATAAAAACAGTCATTTTTACGTTAGCTCAACTGCTCACAGAATTTGAGGTCATCTGTCTCGACCTTCCCTATTTGGCTCTAATAACTCCAGAATATTTCCAAGCTTAGCTGGAGTAGTTTTCCTTGATAGCGGCTTCTTATAGAAGCAAGGGGTGCAGGACTTCGGGGTTGGGGGTCCAAAGGATGTTGGACTTTGCTGAGTGAGGATGTCATTTTCTCCTCTTGTTCCTGGCACACGAGGGCAGGGGATTGGGTGGGAGAAAAGAGACTCTGTATGGGACCAAAGGATTAGAGGCAGAAGCAGCTCTCAAAAAACTGTGATTACTATGGGCAAAGGCTCCTGCGAACGTCTCTATGCGTCCCTGAAAGTGAAGAGCAGCAGAGAAGAAGCAGAACTCAGAGCTGGAAGGAAGGGAGGCCTGGCAGTTGTGTCCAGGGAGACAAGCAGAAGCTCCAGGGAGGAGCCACCATCCATGGTCACAGAAAGTAGTCCCAGAAGTCTTGGGCACAGGTTGCAGCTGCCTGGATCTCATGTAAGCAGGAGGAAAAAGTTCCTCTGAAGGAGAGCCCTTCTTTGCAGAGAAGACTTTACCTGTGGAAGTTGCAGGTTCCCCATCTCGGGATGTCTGCACTTTGCAGAAGGATGGACTAGATGATCCTTTGGTCCCTTCTAACACTATAATTTACTGAGGGAAATAGCTTCCAGGCAGGCAGGGGGGGGGGGGGGAGCTTTGGGATTCTGACCAGTTCTTCTAATCCATCATTTGGGCAGATTTTTGGAAGGTGCTTTGCTTGATTTAAGCTATTGATTTTCTATTTCAGTGACAGAATCATCTCTCTCTGGGTTACTGCCCAGATTGCCCCTGCATTATAATGCCTGTGAAGTAATTTCATAAGGCTACCTGTCCCCTGGGAGATCAATAATCCTATCACCAGAAACACAATGAATAATAGAAATTAAATTAAATCTAAATAAATAGTAAAACTTGGATGGTCAGACCTGGGGCTGCTTTCTCCACCACATGGGGGGTTAGGAGAAAAACTGCCAGGAAATCCGCCCATCTCTGCCCACGTGACGTGAGAGGAAGCATTGCCGTCTGGCTCAGAGCGAATGTGGACCATGGGGACAGGGGGAATGTCCCGAGGCTAAAGTCCAATTAAGGGATCCCCGTGAATTGCTCTCTAGCTTCCTGGGAACCCTGCATGAAGGGGACTTTTAAATTCAGACAGACACAGGAGAGGGTTCTTCAACGTAACCTTTTATTCAACTAGGAAAGCTAACAAGAACGGGAGGAGAACAGAACAATGCCCACCTGACAGCTATTTATACTGACAGCTGTCAGGTGGGGAATCAATCGAGTGGTGGCATTTCTCCCGGCAGCCGCGCCTGAGCCAATCGGATCTTCTTCAGGCTCTGGCTGCGGCTGTCGGCTGTGTCTGGGCGGATGCAACACTCCTTTCCCTTGGATTGCGCATGCGTAATCATTTAGATATTGTGGTCGTCTGCGCATGCGCTGGGAATCCCTCAGTCTGGCAGTGTCCGCCATAGTTGTTGGAGGAGGAGGTCCATTGTTGTGACGCAGCTGAGCTGAAGGCCCGGCCCCTCAACCAGCGCGAATGTTCAAAGGTAAGTTCCCGGCCGTGGTTTCAGCGGACAGCACGCAGCTGGGAAGGCTGGGGCATGCTGGTTGTGGCTGGTGTGTGGCGTTTGATGGCGGATGCGGATTTGATGCGGCTGGCTGGTAGTGCAACTGTGATGTCTCGTGGCGGTGCAGCTGATTTATATGGCGCCACCAAAGTCGTCCGTCGCAGAGTTGGACCCTGTAAGAACAGGACCCTGTTAATTCTGTTATTACGCCTGGAAGCCACTTGGGTTCTCCTGTGTAATTTTGTGCGAAGACACCCTCCCCCACCAGAAAAACCCATGGGGGCTCCCTCAATGGGAGATTCGAAGGGGCGTAAGAGGGGTGGAGGCGGTCTAGCGTGGTTCAGAGCTAGTGGCCCATGAGAATTTCGGAAGGGCACTTGCCGGACGCCTGGCACGGAGTAGAATCCTGGGCACAGAGGTATGCCTGAAGCCTGGCAGGCCAGGGAAGGTAACGCAGCCATGCCAGAGCTTCCTTGGCTGAGCAGACAGCGCGTTCCGCCAAGCAATTCCTGGCTGGGTGCTACGGGGCCACCGGAGCGTGGCGGATGCCCAGGCTAGCCAAGTATTGTTGGAAAGTATCGGAGGTGAATTGAGGTCCGTTGTCGGAGACAAGGACGTCGGGAATGCCGTGGGTTATGAAAAGGGCATCTAAAATTTGGATGGTGGCGCCTGATGTAGTGGAACGCATAGGGAATAGTTCTACCCACTTGGATAGGGCGTCAACAACCAAGAAAAAGGTGCGACCCTCCATGGGGCCAAAGAAATCCATGTGAAGACAGCTCCATGGGGCGGAGGGGGAGTCCCACTCCCGGGAAGGAATGGTGGGTGGGGCAGGACAGACAGCCTGGCAGGGCGGGCACTGCTGAACCCAACTAGCAATGTCCGCATCCATAGAGGGCCACCAGATATAGCTGCAACATAGGGATTTCATTTGCACAATGCCTGGGTAACCCTCGTGGAGGCGGCGGAGGACTTTCTGGCGAAGGGCAGCTGGGACGACAACCCGGTATCCCCAGAAGAGGCAGTCCATAGTAATGGACAGCTTGTCCCGGCAGTGGAATAACGGCAGGAACTCGGCGGAGCGAGTGTCTGCCGCCCAGCCCCAGTGAACGGAGTCCAGGACCCTCCAGAGGAGAGGGTCAGTGTGGGTAGTGCGGGCGATGTCAGCAGCAGAGAGTGGAAGCTCCAAATCGTCAATAAGCGAGACGAAGGAGGAGGAGGGGGCAGGGTCGGAGACAAGCATGGGCAGTGGGCAACGGCTCAAAGCGTTCGCATGGCCCATGTGCTTACCCGGCCGGTAGACGAGGTGATATGAATAAGAGGCCAGAAATTTGGACCAGCGGACATGTGGGGGGAGATGATGGGAGGGGTCGGTCAGTCCACTGCCAAAATGCCCAATAGGGGCTTGTGGTCTGTTAAAAGGGTGAAGGGGCGGCCGTAGAGGTAGTGATGGAAGTGTTTCACCCCTGCCACAACCGCAAGGGCCTCCTTGTCCAGCTGGCTGTAATTGCGCTCAGTCCTGGACAAGGTGCGGGAGTAAAAGGCGATCGGGGCCTTAGAGCCATCGGGCAACGAATGGCTCAAAATGACCCCGACACCAAAGGGGGAGACGTCGCAGGTGAGGAGAAGGGGCAGGCGCTCATTGTATTGGACGAGTATGGGGGCAGCTGTCAGGAGGCGTTTGACAGCCGCAAGCGCATGTGCTTCGCAGCTAGTCCAGACCCAAGGGGCGGAGGCATCCAACAAACGGTGAAGAGGCTCCGCAATGGAAGCCTTATGAGGAATAAAAGCGGAGTAAAAATTAAGAAGGCCCAGGAAGGCTTGGAGCTCCGCCCTATTGAAAGGGGTGGGGGCAGAGACAATGGAGTCAATTTTGGCGGGAGTGGGGTGAATACCTCGAGAATCTATGAGGTAATCCAAAAATTCAACCGAAGGGACGCCCAGCTGACATTTAGAGCGCTTCAAATGGAGGCCTGAAGCTCTAAATCTGGTCAGCACCACCCGAAGAGTTTTGACGAGTCCTGATTTATCGGCAGCAGCAATCAAGACATCGTCAAAATATGGCATCACACCAGGGATGCCATGGAGCAACCGCTCCATCAATCCCTGGAAAAGCCCTGGGGCAACACTGATGCCAAATTGAAGGCGGCGGCACTTAAAGGCACCACGGTGTGTCACAATCGTCTGTGCCACTGCAATGGCTTCATCCACAGGAAGTTGCTGGTACGCTTGGGCCAGGTCTAATTTGGCAAAAAAATTTCCCCTGACCCACACATGCTGGACAACCGGCACGAGGTAGGGATGCGCCTGCAATGCCTTGTTTACGGTGGTCTTATAGTCTGTGCAGATCCTCAGGGATCCGTCAGATTTAATAGCGAGTACTATAGGGGTTTCCCATGGGGAGTGATCCATGGGCTCCAAGATGCCCTGTGAGATCAGTTTACCTAGTTCAGTGTCCACCCGTTCCCTAAGGGCAAACAGCACCCTTCGAGCCTTAAGGTGGATTGGTGCCACCAAGGGGTCCAGATTAAGGGAGATAGGGGTGCCCTTGTAACAACCCAGAGCATTATCGAACACATCTGCAAATTCAGCCAAGAGGGAATCTAGGTCGGAAGCCAGGCATAGGAAATTGACACTGCCAATAGAAAGGCCAAACCAGTCGAGCCCCAAAAGTGAGGCCAGGGGGTTCCGGACTATAATCAGGGGCAGGGGGGCCTTGAACCGGCCATATTGGACCAAGAAGGTACCGCAGCCCACCACGGGAATGGGGTTGCCCTGGTAGTCCCGGAGGTGACAAGTGGAGGGAGATAAGCGCCTCTGACGGAGGTGAGGGAACAAGCTTCTTAGAGTGTCCCAAGAAATGATGGAGTGGGCCGAGCCAGTGTCCAGCTCCATGGTGCAGGGTCAGCCGTCGAGTAAGATGCCAAGATGCATCTTACCCCGATCCCCTGTGGTAGTTGAGGCAGAGTCCACCAGCCAGTCAGGAAAAGGGCCCTCGGGTTCCGAGACAGTGTAGCACCCTTGACGGGCGGAGGAAGGGGTGGAGGCAGGTCGGCGGCTGCTAGGAACGGGCATCCTGGCAGCCCTCGGGTCCACAGCAGGAGAACTTGCTGGCCTTTCTTCCCGCACTTGCGGCACAGGGCGGAACGGAACCGGCAGGAAGAGCGAGAGTGGCAGCCTCCACAGCTGAGGCAGGCACCGGCATCCCTGAGGGAAGCAGCCCTCAGGTCAACCCCTGACCGAGGGTCCTCTGGACCTAGTTGACAGTGGACGGAGGAATGAGGCAGCGAAGCCAAAGCAGATGGGGGAAAACGGCGGAGATCTGGTGTGGATTTGTGCGCCTCGTCCACAGCGATCTTCAGGATCAGCTCAGCGCGGGACAGAATGCAGTGATGGAGGTTGATGTCCTGTAGACCATAGATGAACTGCTCCAGGAGCACGTCATCGAGATCCACAAATTCATAGTGGATCGCGGCAGCCCTCAGAGCAGCCACGTACTGACTAATGGATTGGCTGTCAGTCTGAATGCAGCGCCGGAAGAATTGACGGCGAGCATAGCGAGAAGGGGTAGGCTCGTAGTGGACCTTCAGCCTGTCCAAGAGCAAGTCAAGCAGCATGGTGTGCACAGGAGTAGGGGCTGAAACATTTTGGGGCCACAGTAGTGCAGAAAAACGCCCCTCTTCTGCCCCTCAGACAGGTCAGTCAGGTCGTGAGCCTGCAAGAAGACCTCAAAGCATTCGAGGAACATATCCCATGATTCCGCCTCAGGACGGAACACGGTGAATGTAGAAGCGGCGGCAATGGCGTGTCACTCATCCTCGTCGCCAGTTTTAAATTCAGACAGATGCAGGAGAGGGTTCTTCAATGTAACCTTTTATTCAACTAGGAAAGCTAACAACAACGGGAGAAGAACAGAACAATGCCCGCCTGATAGCTATTTATACTGACAGCTGTCTGGCAGGGAACCAACTGGGTGCCGGCATTTCTTCCACCCCCGGCAGCCGCACTAGAGCCAATTGGATCTTCTTCACGCTCCGGCTGCAGTTGTTGGCTGCATCCAGGCGGATGCAACAGGGACCCCATCATCTCCTGGAGTATCTTCCTCTCTTGTCCCAGCTTCTGCCAACCTAGCAGTTCGAAAGTACGTAAAAATGCAAGTAGAAAATTACGTGCCCCGCCAAAACCGCGGTCCACTAAAGCGCGCCCGATCAAAGCGTGTACGTGACGTCATCAGCAGCGCGACAAATAAAA